ATTCATTTTAATAAAATGGTCCGCTTAACAAAAGGTCCGTTTCAACAAACCAATCTATAATAAAAAAAAAAAAAAAAAAAAAAAAAAATATGATGACACGTCGATACAAAACAAAATAGAATGAAAAGAGAAGAATTATCTTTTTCTGTTTCTGCCGTGAGGCTGGAAAGTCGATTGAAGCCTGTTTCGAAGCGTGTTCAAGGATATTTGTCTGATCGGTGCTGAACGGATACGTTTTCGTGCGAGGATAATATAAACCTATCGTAACCCGCGTCAAATTCGACGTTTCAGTTTCTCGAGAATCGGCACAGGCGCGTCGATTCGATCGCAGCTGACAAATGCCTTGCAAATGTATAAAGAGGGATCAGGTGGTAGATACCCTGAGGCGTGTCGTTGAATTCAGCAAATTCACGCGAATTTGTGTGCCTGTGTACTATCTGCGAGTCGCACGTGTTATCTATTATATCATATGCCTGTACGATCGTTGATCACTAAACTATGGGTGTCTGTGCATTTTTTGGCGAATTCTGAAAACTCATAGAATGCGTGTAACACGCAAAGTTGTATTGTGATAACATCTAAGCAAAGTGATATTATCTAAGACATTATCTTATACTTTTGGCATCACCTTTGTTTTTGACGATACGAAAATCTTTGTTAACGTACGATGATTTTCGAAGGTTTTTCCCTTTTAAATGGCAATCTTCTAGTTTTCGGCGGATTAATCGATGCAGTTCAAGCTATCTACATTGAAAAATTATTAGTTCAGAAGATTCGACTTATCGTATGAGGACAACGTGAACAGGAGAGCAAGACTATCGTTCTCCTCTTTATTTTATTTTTTATACAATGGATTCTACAAAATTGAAGTTTAAATATCTCCCAACGTAATACTTTTTTTTTTCCTTCACAGAGAACATCGATTAATGCGTCAAAAAAATTAAAAGATGATCTCAAAATATTCGATGGGCCTGCTGAACAATTTTTTCATTAACACGTTCGTTGACATATCCTGTTATTGACAATTTCTAAATTGTTGAGAAGTGAGAATGTAGTTGTTTGACAACAAAGTTAACAAAGTCCTTTCATGTGTCCACAAAACGAGAGAGACATCCAAAGAATATTAATTCTGATGGGACCGTCTATATAATATTCAAAAAAATAAAGCCCCCGTTGTGATATTCAACAGGTGAAACGTTCATCAGCATCACGAAATCCCATTTATCTTCCATTTGTCTTTGATCATGTTCGTGCGAGATGTATAAAATTGCACAGACACGTATGGCTTATTGATCACCTGTCCTGGTGTGTGTGCCCGCGCGGGCAGTCGTTTCGCAGTTCTACGTCACCGAGGCTGAGAACGAGTACGTGATACGAGCGAACAGCGCGATCATGAAATGCAAAATACCGAGTTTCGTGTCGGAGTTCGTTCAGGTGGATCAATGGGTAGCCAACGATGGAACGGTTTACACGGTCGGAGAGGAGGATTACGGTAGGCGGTGTAGATCTCTCGTTGCTGCTGCACTAACCAACGAACCAGAGAGACGGTGTGCTTCCGTTTCTGGCCCCCCGTCCCCCCATCTTCTGGCTCCAATTTCAACGTTTCATTTCCTTTTCCCCCAAAACGAACGAAACGAATTCCGATGGGACGGAAGAGTAAGCGGGCAAGACGCGAATACAACCATCCACACGGTTGCCACTTTATCGCTCTCTCTCTGAACAGAGGCTTATTAGTTATTTAGGGACAACGTTCACGCGAACGTGTGGCACGTCGATCGGGAATCTTATCACTGGAGGAACTCGTCGACGGGCGTTCGAGGCGTCGAAACTCTTTCGTTTAGAAGTTACAGCCGCTTGTCAATATCGAGAAACTAAAATGTAAATTGGTCCATTTCATTTTGAAGCGGACGATTATGCGGCGAAATTTTATTTTGACATTTGGAGGAAGCTTGTTTGTTGAATTCGTTTTAAAATGAATAATTACGTAACGGTGGAATGACGCACGTCGAGAATTTTTGCAGTCCCAGAATTGCAATATTTTCTCAGTTCTGAGTATGTTTAAGTATAACCCAGGCAAAACAAATAATAAATTTGTTAAATTACTTCTCAATAATTTCTATCCAGTGATGTCATACCGACGAGTTCAAAAAAGAAAGCGAGTTATGAGTATACGGTATGGTCACTCGTTATGGTCCGCAATCAGTTGCCAGCGCAAGTGGTTAATGGACACAAGCATGACATTTGTAGAAAAATTTATGTAACGTTTGCGTTTTTAACGATCATTGTCGATTAGTTCGTCGTAATTTTCAATAGATTTAATAATATTATTAAAATAGAACTAGTATTTTATTCATCTTTTGAAAAAAAGTTCCTAAGAATAATGTTTCGTAAAAAAAAAAACTTCACAGGATAGCTGTTTCCTCAAACGAAGCGTACAGGTTTGAATAGAATTTTTCTAGTCGGCAAAAGATGACTATCTAATCTATCACAAATTGTTTATCAACAATTCAGATTCACATTTTTCAGAGTACACACGAATTTTCCATTTTTTCCAACTTTCCTAAATATGGTTTTAGGACCTTCGACATTTGTGAATTACGTATGAAAATATCCAAATGAAATTGACTTATTTTACGTATATATTAATATATTATATATTAATGTATTATAATTAATATATTATATATTAAGTATATGTACATATGTTATTTTTCCATACAAGTTAGTCTTCTCACGAAAATGATAACAATAACTATAACTATAAAGGAACGGAGGAGGAGTTCGACATCTCTGACACTCTCCATTCAGTTTCTCTATTGATAAGATCTGTATCATCGATGTGTCACACCCTTTGGGGTTGGGGTTGTCCTACTAAACCGCAGCCGTTTTACGCGTGTCGCGTGTGGGGTTGACGTACTCTGGGGAAGATGCGCGATTTCAGTGGTCCAGCAGTTCTACGAGACGAGGGTCATCGACGAGTTCGTCTTGCGCGGCAACACGGCAACCTTGAAGTGTCTGGTCCCTAGCTTTGTGGCGGATTTCGTAGACGTGATCGAGTGGCTGGCTGTCGAGGACGGGTCCACGTACTCCGCGAACAGCCAAGAAGAAAAGGGTACTTCTTTCGTCTCGATTACCGAGATGATGTTTAGCGAGAGTACCAGATGAGCACGAGTGGTTTTCCTCGATCGCGCAAAAGGCTGTTCCGTATTGCACGATTTCAAGAGAAATTTGAATCACGTGTCGTTGATCTGTTTCATCCCGGAATTGGAACTCTCATTGCTCGTGTATGGGGATGCTCGTTGCTCGTTCTTTGGTTCAGAAATGTACGTATGTACGAGTACTCGAATGTTCGAATGTTTGAATACTTGAATATCTGAATTTGAATCTTCGCGTGTCTCAGTATTAAAGAAACTGACTTTTAGTGAACTATGTACAGTATATTATAATTATAATAATATTAATATAATATTAATATATATAATATGAGTATACACTTTGAGTGTTCTGAAGTTTACTGTTTAAATTTTGTCAGTGTGTGTTTACGAATAAAAGACTAAACTGTCCTGTAGCAAAAAGCCTAAATGCTTGATTGAAAAGTAAGAAAAGTAAGAAAAACATGAACTATAAAGTTACTCAAAATTAATATTAAAGTGCCATTAAGTATACCGTGGACTGAATTTCGTAAATCAATTTTTGTCGAATCCCTTCATCTACTGATTCTTGTAATCAATATTCATTTCGTCTAAATATCTCTACGTTGTAAATTATTGTTTTCAAAGGTAATGAATATTTTTAGAAAGTAGAAATCTGAGAATGTGAAGTCTGGAGATGTAGGAGACCTGATTGAAGAGATTAGTTCTTTGAAATCGTGTTTGCCCATATTTTTGTTACTTTCTAATGAAAGTAAATTTATGGATTTTTTCCCACGTGACATTTCAGTCTTACTTTTTTTTTTTATCCGTAGAACACCTTGTTACGAAAATTTCGATTCATTGACTCTGTTAGAACTCTGGTTTGGAAAATTGCTTGAACTGGCAAACAATAACTGCGATCCAACGTTTACGATAAAGAATGACGTACGTGAAATTCATGGTTATTGGTTACGCTCTTTACTGTACTTGAACGAGCATCCAGCTACTCTGACATATATTCAGACAATCTCAACTGAACGAAGTACCCTATTACTCAAGATCCGAAATAATCTTTAATTGTAATAACGAAGAAAATCGATGGAACAAATTCAAAATTATTTCGTGGATATTTTCAACGGAAAAGAAGCATCATCCTCCGCGACGCGACCATTTCGATTACATCGTCTACGCTCGATTCAGCGACCCGTCGAGACAGAAGTCCCGCCGGCGTTTTTAATGGAATTAATAAATGGAATTACCAGCGTGCTCATCCCTCTCGCGAGAACAGACGGCTCCGGCGCTTTGACGGCGTGCACGTCAGCTGCCCGACGAGTCGAGGGTGTACAGGATGCGCTGGAACAGCGAACAGGGGAAAAGAAAGAGAGAGAAAGAATGACAGAGTGGAACGCGTGCAATTTGCTCTCGCTGAGTATGAAAACTTTGCCCTTTCCGACGCGAACGGAGCACGGAGACAGAAGCGTGCGGCTGGCAGTGGCCTCGTTACACCCGCCGCGATCCAACGGATTAGGTTAAGTCGGATTAATCGAGCCTCTGTCGCTGGCAAATTAAACGCGACCGCGAACAGGACGATCCATCGGCTCCCTAGGCTGACGATCCAGCGCGAACCGGCGGCCAGGCCTAATGGAATTTATTTCACGGTCAGCTAACGAGCGTTTCGGCGAGAGAGTGTGTTACCTCGGGTGTTGCCCTGAATGAAATGAAATTTTCTGGTCTCGATTGAGACGATCGAGTATACATAGTTCTCTTCGGCGACGTGCCTGAATGGGGCGACGAGTATCGAAAGATCAAGTACACATACGCTGAAGTTAAAGAAAGAAACATGCTTTTTTAAAGTGTCATACTGAGATCGTTGTTATTTTAAAATGGCTGTCGCTTTCATTTGGACGATCAGTTTTTCGAAACAGTTGTTCGTATCAACGATAAAAGATCACGTCTTGTGGCTACTATCAAAATGAATTTCGAAGAGGAAATTCTGTTGCTTTTGCTATTAAAGATCGTCACTCATGTACCGCCTGTATATCAGACCAGCATCGATATATTCATAATATTTAAATATTTCAATGAATGGAAAATATTTTTCTAAATATATTAAAAATAATTTGATAAATATTTTAATTAATAGGAAACGGTATTTTAATTAGTAGAAATGCGTTCATTTAATGACAAGAGCACAGCCAATAGAGCTCTGCTGTCTCAAACTGCCTGAATGTAGATATTTGACAACTGTATTTGACGAAAGTGGACAGTAAGAAATTTAATTTCAAGTATTTTCCTCTTTTGTTTCTCATCTTCTTTGTAGTAACAACGCTATTATAGTCATTTCTTATTCAATAGTAAATAATAGAATATTTTTGTAAAATGGGCGATAAAGTAGAATTCCAATTATCACGGTAGAATTATTTCATAGTTATTTAAATTTAATCTAATAATTCATAGTTATTTAATTTTAATTTTCGCAGAGTTCATAGTTATTTAATTTTAATCTAATAAACATGAGCTACGAAAAATCAGTAGTAGACTTTTATTAGATGAACTTCAATTACATAAACTATTTGTACCTCGACAAGTCGGGAATATGGTCTCATAAGATATAGAGAATAGCTGGGAATGTGGTCTCATGAGATGAGATTTAAACCAAGTTTTAGTCATTATTCATTTAAACCCAAGCTTTAGTATATTTAGTCAATTGCTAGCCACTTATTTGAATCTGAATTTCTATTGTAATTGTCATATAAACAAAAAAATCACTGATATTAACGGAGCTCTGTTATGTTATACATACAAACTACAGTTACACATGGTGTTTCTTGCTTTTCCAGCAAATTGTACGAAGCATAATCTACAAGTGAAAATAAGAAAAAAGTGTTACGTAAAATTGTTCCCAAGCAAATTCATATAATCGGAATTTTAACATAGTCGATGCTGATCCGATGTCGAGCAGGCACTGCATTGTTAACCCTTTGCACTCTGAATTATTTTTCAATTATTATGTATATATATTTTTTTTGTTTGGCAATTTAATTAAAATCGAGTGTGACTCGACGTAAGTGTCCCTGTGATAAAAACTGATGAAGGGTTAAATACACTGTTTATTACCTAAAAGCAAACAGTGTTGCAAAATTACGGCTGATGTTGCGGCGTTAGATATCGAGAATAATGGTCCACGCGATGTCGCTGTCGTTCGTGCCCAAAGTTGGCCCAATGATTACGTGTCAGTCGTCGTTTTACGGCTCGAGAAAACAGTCTGTCCGTGGGAATATTTCTCCTCAAATATTTGCCGTTCACAAACTCGCGTGACAGTCGAACGAGCGCGCCACGGAAAACGGGACGATTTTCCCGGTTCTCCTGATTTCGGATTAGATTAAGCCCCGGCAGCTAATCAAACCGACCGTGGAAATTGATGTCCGCTGGCCTAGCCTAATTTTCCATCGGTGGAAAGAGCTGGTACGACGACCTCGCGGTCGAGCTCCGCGTTTGCACAGGCAAGTAGCATCCGCGGTTCATTGAAATTTTAATCGGTCGGATCAAAGCCCCGGTTCGACATCCGGCTATCCTCTTTGTTCTCTCTCTCTCTCTCTCTCTGTTTTCTTTTTTGTTCTTTCTCTCTGTTCCACTTTCGTTGCAGTGGTCGCCCAGTACTTTGAAGTTCAGGTTTACGATCAGTTCGCGATACGCGGCAACGCGGCGATTTTCAAGTGTCAGGTACCCTCGTTCGTCGCCGACCACGTGGACGTAGTGGGATGGATCGATTCGGCCGGCGGCAGTTACGTAGCCGAGGGACAATCATACGGTATCAATCAGCATGGATAGACAGCGAAAGATACGAAGTGTATGTGTGTGTATGTAAGTGTGTGTGTGTGTGTGTGTGTGTAAGAGAGGAATTAAAAAGATCGAGAGAGGTTCTGTACAGCGCGGGATCGTTGCTCCGTTTTCCGTGCTGACGAGAGATCCACCGATTTATACTCTTTGCCTCTGCGTGGGCGTTCGTTCTTCGCATTCGTGCGTACGATGTGCGGCTCAGAGTGGAGAGATCGATCGACGGAGATTCATTCGTTAATGTTCTTGGATTACCGTGATTCCGTGTCCGAGGGAACGTACACTGCCGCTCAAAGTATGAGCCGTGGACCATTTTATCATTTTTTTCGTGGAATTCGCATGACTCGTTTAATCGTGCCATCTGAATTTTCTTACTGTGAACTAAAATTTAATTTGATTGAAGTAAATTTCGATCGGTTTTTGCATATTGTTTGAGGAGCATTTGAAAAGATGAAGTTTACTACGAGTCACTGAAAGATCGTCAGAACATGATCGTCGAGAACTTGAACATGTGAGTCAAAAAAATAATAATGGAGGATGAAGTAAAATTCTGTAAAATACAATGATATCGGAAAATGTTACTGGAGGAAGTTTCCGAGAGATATGTATATGAATAATTAGATCATTAACAGAGCAATTAGCCATATCAAAATAATTTTCATTAAACTATCGTTTATTAAAAAAAAAATGTTAAGAAAAAATATTTTTCACGCATTTAACTTCTGGTGCTTAAATTTTTCACTTTTATTTTCTTTTTTAAATTCCTGAATTCCGCATAGGTATAGAATCTATTAAACTTCTTGGTGACAAGTTCTATTTTTTTCTAAGCGATACTAATATTCTATGTTCCTAGTGTTTAATTCTTCGAACACACTATCAGCACACGTTTACTTTTAAAGAACAATTTTATCATTATTATCATTGTTATCATTTTTAAAGAACAATATTTAAAAAAATTGTTATTATAACATTGTTATCATTTTTAAAGAACAATATTTAAAAAAATTGTTATTATAACATTGTTATCATTTTTAAAGAACGATATTTAAAAAAAAACAGACAACTTTAAAAAAATTGTTATTATAACATTGTTATCATTTTTAAAGAACAATATTTAAAAAAAAAAAACAGACAACTCGCAATC